ATGTCTCATGACATGTATTTGTAAATTTGCGGACCTTAGATCAACAATTTTTGATGCCGTTGTCATTTGCCTCCATTTCCTCATTGTTTCTCCACAAACGTCAATTGCATCCCCACCAGAATGACACATAATGTATTTATTTACTTCTCGGTAATCGAGAACTGGCCTGACCTTGTTTTTTGTGGGTTGTTCCACTGCCATTAAGGGTAGCACTCCCGTCTGAACATCCTGGTCCCACAGGGTTAAGATTCCTTCCTCAATCCACCGTTTAACTTCACTGTCGAACTCGACCTTCTTCTCCTTACTCAATTTAGCATGATAGTGACTAACGTTTTTTAATATCGGGGGTTCTGAAATCCATTTCCATTCCACGGTCCACTTCTTTCCATCAAATCTTGCACCAAAGTCCTTATCTAATACTTCGCATTGCATTTTTTTGCTACTCTTGCTGTTTGGTTGTATGTTCATAGCACAATCTCCTCCTCTGAACTCCACGTTACCATTTCTGTAGACGGTAACCCCTCCAAGCTGGCAGATAACATCCATGCCCACAATGACGTCAACACCATCAATGATCTTTTCCATTGCAATTGCCTCAATTCTCAGTAACCGTCCACATACCTCCAACGTCACTGTGCTGATCCCTCTGCACACAACCTCCCGTCCATCCACTGATCTTACAGTACTTGTACTCCTACAATCAGTCGAACGACCCAACCAGATTTTTTGCAGTCTCGCTACCAATTTCACTTTCGCCAACCAGGCCATCAAATCACCTTCGCCACTAAATGTTTTCACCATATTGACAGTTACTTTTTGATTCCCCTCCATACCGTCACAGTGCTTTATATGTATATGCCGAAATAGCATATAGTTTAAATTCGAAAGACTGTCTTAAAATTCCTTAGTAGACGTTAATTCTGAGTGACAAAGCATAGATGTATTTGTTGTATTGTTTTGCTGTTTGTAAACTAACTTCCTCTTCTCTCACCGTCTTTTGTACACTCCATATTTTTAGCTTTTTTGTATACTAACTTCCTCTTCTCTCACCGTCTTTTGTACACTCCATATTTTTAGCTTTTTTGTATACTAACTTCCTCTTCTCTCACTGTCTTTTGTACACTCCATCTTTTTTTCTCAACTCCCATCCTATGAACACTGATTGTGTGTTAATTTTTTTTGCCAGCTTAAAAAAACAATATATAGACTCTTTTTACGTACAGACACCAATGAGATCATTTTTTTTTTTTTTTTATCTACAAAATGAACAAAAAAATCCATATTACAAGCAGTAATTAAGGCAAAATATATCTAAACACAACATTTCTGTCTTCAATACTTTGGATATTTATTGGAGAAAAACCTTTTCTACTTTTTTGTTGGTAGAAAATTGTGTATTAACAAAACTGTTTAGTTAATTTGGTTACCCATAGTTTGACTACGTTACTTTTTTCCATAAAATTATTTTAAGTTAGTTTACAGAGAAAAATATCTCTTCTATCAATCTCTGCTTTCTTTTGCCACAATATCATTACATTTTAGCAAATGAACAGCAGATGTTAGTTACAGCTATGTTTTAAACTATTTATTTGAAATTGGCTTATTTGAAGCTGTAATCATAATAATTCAGTTATGACTGAAGATGACACAATGCTAGATACATCTTGGTTAAAATTAATTTGGACATCATATTCTTGCTAGATAAAGATAGCGTAATTAAATTTTGAATTTTGATGCTAGTTTTAAAATAGACTAACTTGAATTACTTATGAGAAGAAAGTCAGTTCTATATTCAGTAGTGTTAAAATTTCAAATATGGCCCAATTTGCTCATTGTAGCACTGTAAACCTGAAAGTTGCTAGAAAATCATTAGATATTATCAGAATATCTTAGAATTCTATTTGTGTTGCTGAGGTCAAAATATAGGACAGTTTCTTATCAACTTCTGTAGGTCAAGTTACATTTTAAAGTGGAAAAGCAAAGTAGCTGGGCAAAATCCGTTTTATACATATACATCATTAAATCTTTTAGTAGGACAAATGATAAAATTATTTTAACAGCTTTCTAAAAAGAAAAAAAATCTATGAAGTTAACCAAAAGTTTATCTTGTATATTTATATTTGTGAACAGCTTAAAATTCCACTATTATACATATACAATGGAAATTTGATCAGTGATTGATTCAAACTTGTAAATAATAGAATGAAGAGGGATAAGTGCAGTCTTTTTAGATTATTTAGAGTAACATTTTGTACCCTTAAAAATTTCTTTTGGATTTGTCAGTACCTGGCAATTTATATGATTTGGCATTATATTTGCATTGATAGGCTTAAAAAATGTCTATTTCAATTTGAAATAAATAAAATATTTATAGCAGTATTAGATTTATTGGCAAATATTAACATATGTAACTGCAAAAAAAAAATGGTGATGTTTTTTTCTTTAAATGTTGTTATTACTATATACTCCTACAGCAATGTTTGTTTAAGAAACTATTTTTAGAATTTTAATAAGACCCAAACATATAAAAAATGATTTATGCAATCTCTTTTTTCTCAACAATTGACAATGAAAAAATTAATCGTTATTTATTTTATTAGATTGTTTATTTACAGGAATAATTTTATGTTTATGAGTTTATAAAAATATGAACCAACTACAATGCAATATTTATTATTTACCATATTATCAAGAAATAACTATGAAAAATATTTTTTTTTATTCATAATTTTATAAAAATGTCTGTGAATGTAATTATAAAGATTAAAAAAGTGCATTTTCTAAGTATTTTTTCATTTGATCTTTTTACCATTCACTAAAAGTATTTGGAAGTATCTGGACTTATATTTTTGTTATAAAATAAAATAAGACATATCTTGGCTGATTTACAGGGAAATAAACTAACATACTCAGGAGCGGGAGCGGGACAAGGCCCCGTCACAAAATGACCATTATCTTCGTTTATGCATGTTCCTGACGAAAAATAAAATAATATTTTAAAGTGTTTCTATTTTTCTACCAATAAAAATGTTTCCCTCCTAATTATACTCGCGTCATTTTTCGAGCCTGTTAAGCCATAAAAAACGCCATAAAAGGGGTCACACGGAAGTACAACGGCGGTCAACAGGAAGCCAGGGAAGAGACCTGCCATGGTCAGGCTGAGCGGTCAGCAGGAGGAGCGCCACACCAACCAGTTAGAACTACTATGAGAGATTAACCCAGATCTTCAGCCGGCCTATGAACTATACCACAAGGTAGCTGTCCCAAAACCACACGGTCCTATTGAAATAAATCACGTAAATCTATTTCTACTGTTGTTGTATTTCTTTCTTGCAACCATAGCTTGTCTATAACATTTTTTTCTCAAGAATAGTGTTTAAAACTTGTTATCTATCCTTGATAGAAAAAAGAGAGAATATATGAATACAGTTTCATATGTTTTGGTTTTATTAAAATTCTAAAAATGTCATTTTAAAACAATATAAATTGCTGATGGAATATACAGTAATAGCAATGTCAAAAGAAAGACAGTCTTTTTTTTTTTTTTTTTTTTTTTTGTACGTAGGTTAAATTTCCGTCAATTTATTAATTACATAAATTTAATACAATGTTAGACTGGACAGTGAAACTAATTTCATAAGTTTCATTATTTACATTTGGACTAATGTTGTTATCGTCATGTTTTTGGCCATTGTTCACCCTAGTCTTTTTAGTTTTCTGGATAAATTTTGGGGAATTTTGAACTGAACAGCATGCCAACATTACTTTCTGTGCTTAAAACTGTTATGCTGCATGCACATATTTACTTTTGTACAAAGTTTACTTTCAGCGACATTGCATCATGGGCAAAAGGCAAGGAAAAGTAATTATAAATATGGATTCAAATATTGCCTATTAAAGTTTTTGCTGTAAAATAAAAACTTTCAGGCAAGTAAGCAATAGTTGAGTTTATATTTTTTTTTTTTTTTCTTAAATAAAATACTAACTTGTTTATATTTTTTATAATTTCAGTAAAATGTTTACATTTTTATCTTGAATGTTTTTAATATTGTTTCCTTGCTAGTTTTTCTAATAATTTATAATACTAAATTAATAAAATGATTACTAATTTACTATGAATTTCAGTATGTGCCATTTTACCCATTCATTAAATGTCAAAAATGTACTGTATATAACTGAAAAGCTTGATACATTGAAAGAAAGATTAATACTTTTCTGGGGGGGGGAAAATAATAAAAATTATTATGTGGACTTAAAAAGGACAGTGAAAATAGGTCACTGCAAAAGTAACATTAACTTGTATGATCTCAATTTCATTAACAATGTTAAAGGTAGAAACTGGTTTTTATTTTTATTTTTTTTACTGCAGTTATGCTCATTTTACCTGAAAATTTTGAATACCATATATACTCGCATATCATGTGACTTTAAAGAGTTAATTTTGAAGCTAATTTGACTACAGTAAATGGATACATAGTTTGGTCAATGGTGCAGTGAGGGCCAGCAGTACACGTGCTAATTTTGTATCTTGTGTATGATGTGACTCTCTTAAAATTAGCTTCAAAATTAGGTCTTCAAAAGTCGCATGATATGTGAGTATATACAGTACATTTTACAGCAGAAGTTATTGTCAGCAACATTCAGTCAGTTATGTGCCATGTGTGATACATGCTTAGGCAATCATTTGAGACATGACTGACGAGGCAGATTTTTTCCCACAGTAGGTTGCCATTTCTTTTTGCGGTAGACCAGTTGCCATCCAAGGCCATAGAACCCGGTCTGTCCTTGCTATTTACCCATAGTTGGGAGGAGAAGAAGATGATTCATACCTTGCCCAAAGGGTATTAGCATGTAAGTGAATGTAATGGATCTGACTGGAATTTGAACTTGGCTCTCCGATTTCTCAATCCGAGCCGCTATCCATTACCTCACTGTGCCTCCTCCTCAACAACACTAAATAATAAAAATATTCATAATCTCTAATTTGGATTCTTTTTCAGAAAATACCAAGTATTTTTCAAGTCTTGCTGGTGAGTTTTTATTTTAAATTTTCTTTTTCATATTTATGAAAGTCAAGTGTTTACTGGTATTTTTTTCTGGCAATATGAGTTTTATTACAGAATGGAATTGTACACCATCTCATTGACTTCACATGTTAAAGTGTAGAAATTATGATTTATTTTTTTTAATTTGTTCTGTTAATTTAGATTAAATTTCATCTTTATTCTTGATCTTTGAATTGTTGCATTTAAATTATTGATAGCAACACATTTATGAAGCTTTTAAAGAGCAAAAGTCTATATCTAGTACAAACTTTTTATGTCTTACATGCTAAAATGTATTGGAATGTTTCTTGTATATTGACATGTATTGTTGAGGTTTGTTAGTTTATCAATAACTTACAGGTTAAACTTTTCTATTTCAGCATTCCACATTCTACATTCTTATATTTGTGCATGTTTGTCAGTAAATTTAATATTCTGAAAGTGATGTTTCTTGTTTTTTATAACATCAATAATGTTGATTAAGTAGGGAATGCTGGGAGCAAAACAAATTGAGTTGCAGTTTGAATAAAATAGTTAAGTTTACCACGTCTCATGTCTTTGTGTTGATTCATCTTTTCAGCAGCCAGTCTCATATAATTTATCTTTCCCTCCTAAACTCAGTGGAACATGGTGTTAGAGAGGGATTCTTTCTAAAAGAAGAAAATTATTTTCTAGTTGAAGAACAGGACCAATTTTGAAAAAAAAAATTTTATTAAAAAAAAAATGTTCAAATTAACTATACCAGAACTGTTTGACTTTACAAATTTGTGAAATTAGCATAAATGATTGCAGAGATTTCAACGCTTTTAAAGAAACATAAAAAATCTGGGAAGAAGATAACAAAACTCAAGTTGTTACATTAATGTATTGCATGGGAAGAGAAGCCGAAAATATATTCTGGAAATTTTCTTTCTCATGACAAGAAAATGCAAATGTGTACAACTTCATTTTGGAAAGATTTAATGCCTACTTCATGCCTAAAAGAAATATAATTTATGAAAGGACAAAATTTTATCTTAGAGTTAGAATAAAATTAAAGAAAAATATTGGAACACTGAAGGAAAGGATCAAGTCAGCAGACATTGCCAACAGGTCGTATATTATCACAACTAATCCAGGGGATATACAAAGAAATAGGCAACATATTTCACTTTCAGATTTTGAAACATAAACTAATTAGTAATCATTACAAGAATCTTCAAACAAATAATATTACAAGAGAAAGTATTGGAAAAACTCTGAGCAGATAAACAATACAAACTCCAAAATATTTGTTTGATTTCACAAAGCGAGTGAGATTATTGCTCTTTGACTGTAACCAAAACAAATTTTGATTTGCAGTTATATATTTTGTAATTTGGAAAAGTTAGAAATAAATTCTTGAAGATAATAAATTACCTTAGGAAGGTGGAGGTTTATAACTACATCAATAATGTTGATTATGATGATTGTAAGCATTTCAGGTTCCACTAGGGAATACTTGGAGCAAAAAAGATTGAGTGGAAATTTAAATAAAATAGTTAAGTTTACTATATCTTATGTCATCTTTGTGTTGATTCAACTTTTCAGCAGCCAGTTTCATATAATTTATCTTTCCACCCTAGTCACAGTGGAACACTTGTAGTCCTACTTCTACTAACATATCTTTGTATAAAATGCAAAAATTACACATTAGTCTCTATATGATATGATTATTTGTTATGAATCAATAAATAATAAACAAGTTATAGCTTCTAATGATAGAAAAGGAGAACTTTAATATTTACTCATCACAGTAGCTTTTAATGTTATATGCACAAAATTACAAGCTTAAATCTGGGTCAGTCTTCCTATATTTAAGAAATTACGCTAGTATTTTTTTTTTTTTCAACTGCAATATGTGACCAATTAAATAAATTATATTTTTTTAAATTTAATGTTTTATGTTATGATTCTTGAAATCTTTAAAGGTTACTTTGTTCCAATTATTATTTGGAGATACTCTTAGAAATAAAAAATCTTTTGTGAACATTTGCATTTTTCTTTGGTCTCCTATCATCAAATGAGATGAAATTATTAGTAAAGGTAGAATAAATTGAAATGCTTTAGACACTTCATTTTTTTATTTTAATTTTGTCTAGTAGATTGTTGTAGAACAATCAATTGCAAGAGGGTTTGTTGGCTAAAAAAATTCCAAAACTAATCTGCAAACTTTAATGATAGTGAATTTTGATTTAGTTGTGTTGTTACAACAATGAGTTTAATCCATTAAGTGCAGAAAAAAACTTCTGTCATTCACTTCGTCATAGACATATAATGGCAGTAATCATTTTCATGTAAATATTTATAGCTATCATTGTAACTTTTGGCCTTACTGCAGGTTGCTTTGAATAGACAAAAGAATAAAGATTTGTTGGTTTGTAATCTATTAAGAATATGTAATGTTACAGGCAAGTTTCCTATGATAGTGTGTGAAATTTGTATTTGAAGTAGAGAAAGGGAAAAATGTATCAATTCTCATCCAGTGTTTTTGATATTGAAATCTAGGTTTTAAAATCAGGGTACTTTTGTTCATGTTGTATCAGATATTCCTTTTTGTGCAATATCAGTTTAAGACCTTGAACTGAAACAGAGTTTGAGAAACTGTAGACATTAGTCAAAGAATATGAAAATCTGTTAGTACATCCTTGATTAGGAAAACTGTTAATATCACAACCATGGAAATTATTTTTTATTTATAATATTTGCATGCATGTTTTGTATTTACTGTATACATATTTTATTATGGTTCTTATTTATAATAAGAGCTTAGGGTATGTTATATCTCGTACAAGATATAATAAACAAAGTAAACCCGAGTGTGGTTTTCAATAATAATTTTATAATCGGATGTAGGTATGTCAAAATACAGAGAGAGAGTCAGGAGTAAGCTAACCGCAATGGTGTTAGTAAATGAAGACCTTTTTTTTCCCTACTCTTGACTGCGGTCGTACTTTATCGGCAACCAGTCTGTCCATTATCATGAATGGGGAAGTTGGGTTATCTCATCACAACACCTCCCCCCGAAGCTGAAATTCTCCCTTTTGAAAATTTCTGCTTCTAATGTCGTCTTCTTTTTGGATCCGGACTAAAACGCTCCACTGGTTTTCTTTCCCATGTGTTCCTTCTTTTAGTCGTGACAACTTGATCCTTTTTTGGCGAAGATAATTTCCGCTTTTCAGCCCGTAAGGCTGGTCCATGCAATACAGGTTCAAATACACTATTGGGTAGTGTCATGTTAAAAGCATCGCATAACACTTCCATCGGAATTTCTTCTTCGCTTTTTTCACTTTCTTCACCATATCATGGTCTAATCTGATTGATGTGTCTTTTACACGTAAATTTTTTACTTTTAATCGTGTAGACCACTTTACCAATCCTTTTCTGGATTATGCCATCCATCCAATAGCTTTTTCCACTTTTAAAATTTTTAAAAAAGACTTTGTCTCCTGAAGTGTATTTTTTATGTTGACTTTTTCCTCTTTCTTAGCAACTTTTTTGTTTTGATAGAGTAACAATCTATCGAAAATTGATCTAATTTTCCTTGCGAACATAATTTCCACAGGTGACATTTTCGCATCGTTGTTCTCATTAGGAGTTACCCTATAGATTGCTAAAAACTTCTGAATAGTTCTTTCTTCCGTGTCCATACCTTTATTTTTACGTAAAGCACGTTTAAAAGTGTCAACAAATTTCTCTGCTTGACCGTTCGACCTGGGATGACACACTGGTGTAGTTATGTGTTCAATGTCTAAGGCAGTACAGAAATCCTTAAATTCCATACTTGTGAACGCCCACCATTGTCGCTAACCAATGTTCTGGGAACCCCGAAACGACTGAAAATTTCATCCAATGCACTGATGGTGTTCCTAGATGTAGGATGCTTGCACTTGACTACCTCAGGCCATTTTAGATAAAGAGTCCACCAATATCAAATAATAGTGCCCATTAATTGGTCCAGCATAGTCTATATGTAGACGTGCCCACGGCAAATCTGTTTTTCGCCAAGGATTCATTTTTGACCGAGGTGCCCTTGCAGCCAATTGACAACCTCTACATAGTCTTACAAAACCTTCAATATCCTTGTCCATTCCTGGCCAGTATACGTAACCACGCATGAGTGATTTCATCCGAGACATTCCAGGATGACAGGTATGAAATTCTTTCAGCATATCTGTACGTAGAGATTGAGGTATAACAATTCTATCTGCGTACATCAATTTGTTGTCACAAATTGAAAAAGGTGAAATCTGAGTTCCCTTTTTCTGTCTTTTGTTCCATCTCGTCTGGTTCCTTAATTTCACAATATAGTGATCTTTTTCCGCTTCTTTTTTTATTTGGTCCAACGTAACCGGCAATTCCCTGATTGTATTCAACAAGAGACCTGATATTTCTTTTTCCTCAGTTAATGCTGCAATAACCGTCTCTTCTAACATTTCTTCATTTTTTTGGAATCAGCCTTGACAATCCATCCGCATGCCCATGTTCTTTAGATTTGACGTATTCCATCCTAAAATGGTAATTAAGCAGGGTTACACCCCATCGCCGTAAGCGATTAGCTGTATGCGTAGGAATGCCTTTTTTTACCTCAAATATTGTAAGTAACGGTTTATGGTCCGTTTGAAGTACAAATGATCTACCATGTAAAAAAGCGGTGGTATTTTTAACCCCGAACACAATCGACAAAGCCTCTTTCTTGATCTGGCTATAATTTTTTCAGCCGGAAGAAGAGTCCTTGACGAGTCTTGCCGATCGGTTTAGTAGTGCCATCTTCATATTTGTGTAGCAGTGCAGCACCCACTCCGCACAAACTTGCATCAGTTGCCAGAATGATCTCTTTCTCAGGATCATAATGTGCTAAGGCGAGATCTGAGAGTAGGCATTTTTTTTTTTTCTGAAAAGCCGCCTCGCACTCTTTTGACCAAAACCATTTCTTGTCTTTTTTTAACAATTCATTAAGGGGAGCTCTTAAATCATACATTTTAGGTATGTAGATTGCATAATATTGTGCCAACCCCAGAAACGATTGTAGTTTTGCAACTGTGTCGGGTGCAGGCATGTTCTTAATTGCATCGGCTCTCTGTGGGTCTGGTTTCCTGCCTTCACTGTCTATCACCTGTCCGAGGTATGTAATTCTTTCCATGAAGAATTTACACTTCTCGTGGCTTAATTTAAAACCAAAATCTTCTAGTCTTTTGAATATCGCTCTGATGTGCGTTTTATGTTTTTGAACATTCTTACTTTTGACTAGAATGTCATCTAAATAGGCGGTACCAAACTCGAGGCCTGCCAGCATAGTGTCCATCACCTGTTGAAACAAAGCTGGGGCGACCTTTAAGTCGAAAAGAAGCCTATTTAGCTTTTATGTGTATTTATACACAAATATTTTGAGCATTCGTCACTCACTTTAATCTGCAAGTATGCGTCAGACAGGTCAATTTTTGAAAAAATATCTTCTGGTGAAGGTAGTGGATAACTGTGATTTTTAAGGCAATCATTTAATCCCGTTGAAAAATCTGCATTTACTTTATTTTTCCGTTTTTCTTCTTAACATAAACTGTGGGCGAGGCCCAATCCGAATGGTCAACATTAGATATCACTCCCATTTTTTCAAGTCTTTCCAATTCCTTATTAATTGTGTCTAAGGAGGAAAAAGGAACGTTTCTCTTAGGTTTGAAAATTGGTTTCACATTTTCCTTGAGTTCAAATTTGACTTCCATCTTAGTACATAAACCCAATCCCTCAGAAAAAACTCTGGGATATTCTTATTTTAATTCATTTATGAATTTTTTCATTTTAATATTTTTTTGTTTTTCTGCACTGTTTATTACGTTTTACAAAATGAGTTAATCGGAGTTCAAACAAATCAAAAAGTACTATCCAGTCTATTCCAAAAGACATGAATTAATCCCTTGATTACATACACTTTCGTTTTTGCAGTCTTGCCACATAACGAAATATCGCACTTTAATTCTCCCATAAAGTTTAATTTCTTTCCTGAAACCCTCTAGCGGTTTTTTTGGTTTCAGATAATTTAGGTCTTCCAATATTTTTCCATGTTTGTTCATCAATGATGCTTATGTCTGAACCAGAATCTAATAGGAAAGTAATTGTATGATTATTTGTACGTACATCTATGTACTTTCTATTTTTACCTTTCTGAATTTCTTTTTCTGATAATACCAGGCTTACATCTTGTAATTTTCTTTTCTTTCGGCAAACCGTATATTTATGCCCTTTATTTCCGCACGATTGGCAGAATCTATTTTTGTACCAACACACGTCTTTGGTATGGTTATTTTTTCCACACGTCTCACATTTTTTTCTATCTTTTTGGCTTTTGAAGTTTTTAGAGATTTTACGTGTCGAACATTAGCAACACTTTTCTCCTCAATTTGTATATTATCCCTTTTTACGTTTATGAGACGTTGACATTCTTTGGTCACCCTTTGTAATGTTATTTTCGAGTCTTGCTCGACCATTATTAATATTCTCGACCTAATTTCTTTATATTTAGGATCAGTTAGTCCTTGAATAAAAATTAGGCACTTGAATACATCTTTGGTTATTTCTTCTAACTTGAATTGTTCAACCAGAGAGTTCACTGTTCCCGCGTATGTCACAAAATCCTCGTTATCTGCTTTAACGATGTTTAGGCATCTGTATCGCGTGTGGAACAGACTATTCCTTTCACAAATATTTTTTGACAGAATACTTATAGTTTCTTCAAAAACGAAACTTCTGGCTTTCTGGGCAATATCAAGTTTGAGTACTTCCTATTCTCGTTTGTCCCTAGTTTCTGGACTAATAATGTTACTCGTTCCTCATCCGACCAATGTTGACATCTCTTGGTAAATATAGTTTCAAACGTTTAAAATACGCTGGAAATGTAATGCCCGAATCAGGATCATAAATAAATTCGGATAATGAATTTGCTATTCCTTCGACAGAAAAACAGTATTTTTTTTTCTCCAGTCGCCTGTTTCAGAATTTTTTCGAGACTTTTTGCTGTTGCAATATTTGTTGTTGTAAGTCTTGGTGCTGTTGTTGCTGTTGCAAGCTTGTACACAGTATTTTAGTCATTTCGACTAATTGCTCCATCCTGACTTTATTTAGAATTCGGCAAGAAAAAAAAAATTTTTTTTTTTTTTTTTTAGACAGTTAACAGACAATTTACAGCTGTAATAATTTTTTACAACCTGTAATTTTTACTTGAATAATCAATTACTAGACTGGCTCGTATTTGAGTCAAAGTTGAATATATATTTTTTCAAATCACAATTTAACAGTAAAAATTTTCTTACTTTTCAAAAAAATCCTTTTGACTTGTGACTCCGTTTCAGAAATCCGTTATATATATAATATATATATATATATATATATATATATATATATATATTTTTTTTTTTTTTTTTTTTTTTTTCAAGTAAGTACGTTGCACAATCCTTCGTCGCCAGCTGTTATATCTTGTACAAGATATAATAAACAAAGTAAACCCGAGTGTGGTTTTCAATAATAATTTTATAATCGGATGTAGGTATGTCAAAATACAGAGACAGAGTCAGGAGTAAGCTAACCGCAATAGGTGTTAACAAACGAAGACCTCTTTCACTGTCTGCTGTGGTCGTACTTAATCGGCAACCAGTCCATCCATTATCGTGAATGGGGAAGTTGGGTTATCTCATCACAACAGGGTAAATCTTTATTTTTCCTTATTTGTAGCATGTTTACATTAATTGCTAAATATCAGCTTGTAATTAATGCAAAAAAATGTATTATTTATTGTAAGTATTGAGATGAAAAATAAATCATATTTAACTAATTCTTTTTTTACTACAAATTATTTTCTCATTCTCTAGCTGGAACACATGTTAGCTATGAACTAAAGGATGACGTAGCAGTAGTCAAGATAAATTCTCCAAATTCAAAGGTTGGGAATATTTTCTTTTTGATTTTTATACACACACCCACACACACACAATTGGAGGTTTTGATTGTACATTTATTTTAATCTATTTCTTTAAAGTTTAGCAGATTTTAGATGAGATGACATTAAACCAGTTGCATGGTATAACTTCAGCAAAGCATTTGCATTGAACAATCTACTTTTTGTCAATAGATTTTATTTTTTTTATTAATACAATATTTTTGTGAATTATATTTTAAAAACTTAAAAAATATTTTATTAAATATTTTTGTACAGATCTATGATAGGATATTCCCAATTATTTTTTCATCTATTTTTAAGATTTTTCTTGGGTAAATAGTACTGTATATTCTTATGTATAAGCTGACTTCATGTATAGTGTGACCCCTGAATTTTTTGCATGAATTTTAATCCCCTGCAGAAAAAAATTTTATACTTGCATATAATGCAACCAGCCACTGAAAATGTATAAATTTTGAACATCTTCAAAAAAATTACCTGTGTATAGTGCAACACCCTATTTTTTTGTGTAAAAAATGATCATAAAATTTGCACTATACTCAATTATATATGGTCAATATTTCTTTGATATCAATTATTTAGTGCTCCAAATTATCATGGTTGCTGTGAAATCAACCATAAAGTTACACCAAAAATCTATCAGCCCTCTGCCAAAAAAATCACCCTTTTGTGAAGTATCAAACTTTTTTTGTAGTTTTATTCATATAATTTTGAACACTTAACCACTGTAAAATGTCAGCTTTTAAAACCAAAAATAAATAATGTTCTTCTGCTTCTAATATGGTCAAATAAATACACTTACATTTGAAATATCTGAAGTTTTTACTTCATGCAGTATTTAGAAAGAGCAATACAAATGCAAAAGGATTTATACCAATGTTTTTATACCAGTAGATTATGCAGAAACATTTGATACAGTATATCACAAAGAACTGTTGAAACTGTTAGGTAAGCTTGATATATTTGGGAAAGATATTAAAATAATCCAGAACTTAGACTGGGAGAAAATTGCCTGTGTATATATTAGAAAATGAATTCAGTAAATATACAAAAATATAAGGAATTTAAGACATAATGTGTCTTCTTACCAGACTTATTCACCCTTTACAGTGAAGTGATTCTGAGAGAATTAGAAGTACTAGCAGGATTCATTATTGGTAGCCAAAATAGGTATGCATATGACACAGTGTTGATAGCAGACACAGAAAAGAAACTGCAAAAACTCTTGCAGAAGGTAGTGAAGGTAAGAAGAAATGACTAAACATCAATTGGAAACCAAAAGGATACTTAACATCAGGAAGAGAGAGATGAAATGTCTAGGGCACATAATTAGGAAAGTGGGCTTAGTAAATTTGATACTCACAAGACATTGAAGGCAAGAAGGACAAAGGCAAGCCTTGCATAACCTACCTAATGTGCTTGTATAAATGGTTGGCAGAACAGGGAATTAGAAGAGATCGCAAAAAGACCAAATTTACTAAGAACTACAAAGGACTGGATATTGTGGAGAGCTATGATTGCTCATGTCCTAAAGAGACATAGGACATATAAGAATTTTTTACTTTTTAATTTTTTTTTATTTGATATCTTAGTTTATATTTTGTAATTCACAATAAACTGGATAATATGGGATGCTAAACTATTTTAACTACTATATTTTTTAAAAGTCTAAATATGTTAAACCAGATTAATATATACATATAAAAAGAATAATATCCCTATTTCCATCTGTAAACAAAATTACAATTGGCAATTAGTTATTTTCCTTAAAAAAATTAAAATTTAATTTTGAAAAAGTTCCTTAATGAAAGAACCTGTGATAAAAACTTGTGCTACCAACTAGTTGACTCATTCTTTCTCCTTATTTGATTGATTGACCAATTTGTTAGTGGATATTTGAAATATATACTGAAATTCTATGTGGTGACCTCAGAAGGACCTACTATACTAGGACTACCCTTGCTCAGAGACCTGGGGCTGGTAGCTGCTGTACTGTGTCATTCAAAAAACTTAGATCAACTCCACAAAAGACATAATAAACATGTACCCAGATCAGTTTGACTGCACAGGCAATTTCATGGATGAATACCAGATTGTCCTAAAACCAGACAACCAGACCCTATAATCCACACATCTAGGAAATGTTCCATCCATATGAGATCAAGACCAAGTTAGATGGCATGGGGAAACATGGTATCATTCATAGAGTAAGTGAGCCTACAGAATAGGTTTATAATGATGTTCATCTTTCCTTAGATCCAAAAGATTTAAACCAGGCTATCAGGCGATGTCACCATAAGATGCCCACAATAGAGGAGCTTGTACACAAACTCTATGGTGCCAATTATTTTTCTAGACTGGATATGCCAAAAACTGATACTCCAAAATCACACTCCATACTGAATCACATCTACTGAACACTTTCAACTCTCCTTTTGGAAGATATTGTTTCCAGAAAATGACTTTTGGCCTTATAATGTCCAAAGATACTGGAGAAATGCCCTGGGACACTAGGTTTAATTGATGATGTTGTAGTATATGGCAGAACAAAGAGGAATATGACTAGAATCTGCACAACTTAATGAAGATAGCACAGATTGAAAGGCTCAAGTTCAACAGTGACAAATACACACTTGACCAGAAGGAAATACATTTCTTTGGAGTCATCTATGATGAGAATGGGATATGCCCTGCTTCCAGTTAGGTGGATAAAATAAAGAAATTGTTCAGCCTGACAAAAGTCACAGATTTACAAAAAGTACTGGGAATCATCACCTATATTGCACTTTTTATTCCACGTCTCTCTGATCTAACATCACCTATGAGAGATCTACTAAAAAAAAGAAACAAAATACAGAGTTGGCAAGAACATGCAACTATGATGAGCTAGCTATTGAAAATGGGATTTTGATCAAGGGTGATTAGATCATTTTCCCATAGTCCATGCAACTAGAGATGCACTGTGGCCATCAAGAGATCGAGAAGTGCATGCTAAGAGTAAAAAGCTCTGTGTTCTGGAAGACATTGACAGGACAATTCAACTATTTGATACATGCCAAAAACACCAAAAAGTGCAGAGCACTGAATCCCTGATGCCACATGAGATCCCAGTAAGACCATGGCAAGTAGGGATCACTGACTTGTTCCACTTCGATAGATCTAACTTTATGTTGATTGTTAATTATTACTCCAAATACCCTTTGTGAGATTAAGTGAGTTCTCCAGCCAAACAAATTGGGGAACAATGAATCCCAGACAAGGTGATCAGTGACAACGGCCCCCATTTCAGCTCAGTGCTATTTAAGCAGTCTGTGAAAGAATAGGGATTTGACCATTGCACAAAGTCTCCAAAATATCCACAATTAAATGGTCTCGCAGAACATGGCATGCAGTCAGTGAAATCTGCCATCAAGAAGACTACATTGAGCAGCCATGAAGTTGACATGGTATTAAACCTGCAAGCAATGTCAATAGACAATACAATCCAGTCACCAGGGGAACTCCTGTACAACAGAAACCTGGTTAGTAACATTCCAGTAAAATGTGCCAACCACTTCACACAAAAAGAGGGAATATCATATTATGACCAGCACACAATAGATCTCCCCAATCTTCAGATTTGGACAGCATGTTAGAGTGCTCAACAAGGATGCAGGCATATGGACTACTGCAGTTGTCCTGCAAGTGTGCACTGAACCATGATCATACATTGTACAGGCTCCATCTGGACAAATCTTCTACAGGAACAGCCAGCACCTGAGGGAAGACTCATCCCAAACCAAAATGAGTCATAAGATATATCCACTCAAAGATCAACCTTTGATCCTACACCAAGAGTGGATATCAACTCCCCACCGGATGACCCAAGCCAAAATGCCCCATATGAAATGCATGATACAAATCTACTCTCTGGCATGACAACACATGCATAAGAACCCTATCCGACCTCACAATAAGATTCAACAAATAAGAACATTTATTCATTTCTTTTTATTTTCAGTTTTGTTTTCTCAATTTTTTTTATAAAATGGGGGATGTAATCTTATGATTCCAGTTATCTCCCCTAGCCTAGCTTGTAAATAAAGGAAGGTAGAAAATGGAGGGGGTGAAAAAAAGCATATGGAGGATAAAACAAGCACCAAGCTGGCTAAACCCTTAGATGTGTGTTACATGTCTTCATTTCACATAAAAATACTACATAGACTGCTTTTATCAGTAAAAACGTATTATAATTATGAAAGATTTTAAAATGTTTTAGGCTTAAATTTCAGTTAACATGTGGGACAATATTATTTTTAATAAAACTTACAAATAGAATTTAATCCATAGTGTAGAATTTGATTTTATATTTTAGAAATGCTTGGAGCATTTTATGTTTGTGACAATATTAAAATAAACTTTTCAAAAGAGTTAACATTTTTACTGTTTACAATTTTTATGACTTAGGTGATCTCTTCATTTGTAAATATTTTTCTCAAGTTACTTATATCTTGTTTTAGGTTAATACTTTGTCTAAAACTGTACAGCAAGAATTTGTTAAAATATTTGATGAACTATGGCTCAACAATGATGTGAACAGTATAGTTCTTATCTCTGGGAAACCAAGTTGTTTCTTGGCAGGTGCTGATATTGGGTAAGTGTCTTTTGCTGCTAGATTTTAATATCTATGTATGACTTAATATTGAAAGATTTTATTGCATCACAATAGTATATATGATGTATCAACCAGTAGTGATGCAATACTTTTTTGTCTTCTTGCTAATGTTAAATTCATTGATGCTGATTTCAAATAAAACAAAGCTAGTTAGAGAATGTTGGTACATTAGTTATGTGTTAACATCTTAGTGGAGACTATAACAGAAATAGATAACAGGATACAGTAGCTCATAGTAATTTTTTATTATATTATAAAAACGGTTTATTTTCTTGAATGAAGAGTTACAAAAAAAAAATGTCAGTAAATCGGAATTAATCAACAGAGGCTTCTACATAGGTCATCTCTTTACTGGAAGTCCACAATTTTATGTTTACTTTAATAATAACCATAGTTCTGACGTGATCAGGTGAATATGGTGGATATGAGAGTCTTGTATCTCAAGTTGGTCAGCTTCTACAGTGTCATCATGGCAACATGTGTGACTGAGCATTATCATGAAGCATAATTGGACCTCGTCAATTAACCAGAGCCGGTCATATATTGCTTAACTGAAAATACATTTTATCAAGTTACTGACAGTAAGCTTTAGCAATGCTCTGGTTAAATTTTAGGAAATTGTAATGGATTTGATTTTTTGAATGAACTTGATTTTTTTTTTTTTTTTTTTTTTTTTTTTTTATGATTGTCATAAAAAATCAAGTCACTATTTGAACTCAAATGGATCATTTGAATATTGCAGATGCAGCTTTGAACATACTTCAAAACATCAAACTCTTTGACTTTTGCTGAATTTATGTGGAACCCATTTATCATGTTTTTTCACCTTGCCAAACTTCTTTAGTTTATAATATATTAGAGCACAAAAAGTTTGTTCTAAAATCAAACCTTATTTTCTGAACAACCTAATAAACCTTCTTAATTGTGTTTTAATATATTATAAGAGTTGCACAAAAATATATTACTTGTAATAATTAAAGTGCCTGCTAAGTTAATTTTATATCAATCACTTTCAGAATTTAACAAAACATTATATAACTTACATCTTAAACATAAAAAAGAAGAGATGCTTTTACTTTTTTGCATGGGTTCACGTTTTATCATACTGCTTCTCAAACTGTCAACATTAACAAACCATGGGTGAAGGATCTCTTGTGATCAGACAATATGGCACTGGTTTCTGAAGTGGGGATATGTGTCTTGAAGATCAAGGTGCTAGAGGACATTCATCTGCAATTGATGATCAACATCTGAAAACACTAGTCAAACAAAATCCACGTCAAAGTATCCAGAAATGTCTTGGATAATGCGTGTGAGCATTTCAACAATGTCAGACCATTTACTACATCCACCATATTCCCCTGATCTCTTGTCCACTGATTACCACTTTTTCAAAGATCTTGACAATTTTTTAAGCCAAAGAAAATGCAGAAACTAAAACAGATTTCTTGGCATCCAAATCTTTAGAGTTTTATTATAAAGGCATAAATAGCCTTGCTGTTCATGGCAGAAATGTATAGATGTTCATGGTTTCTTGGTTTAAACATTGTTTCATTACATTAATTCCGGAAGAAAAGTTTATTCCTAAGATTGGACAATATTTATCGAACAACCTAATATATCAGGAGCAACCATAGATCACTTATCTTGTTAAGTGTTATGGATTGCACACCAAAGCTGTAGTTGTTTCAGTTAGAAGTTTGATTTGTCAAATTTTGCTGCAGTTGAATTAGTTTTGTGTGTTTCTATTTCAACAAACACCTGTTGATTAGGGATACTTGACTATGTAGCTTGTCAAGTAAATGGAATTTTTTAGCTAATGTGTGAATACCCACACATAACTGGATGAGGAAGCTCAGTTTATTTGAAAAAAAAAATCATAGAAATTGGACGCCTAAAGTGTATTTTCTGTTGTTACCTGGGGAGTCCTAAAATCTGTTTTTTTCCAGTTTGAGCAACTCCTCATTGGTCCTGTTTTAACTTAAATTATTCATTAGAATTCCTTGAAGACCATGTCATATTTTGGCACCTTCCAATGTGCAGATAGAAATCACTTTAAGCAGTTCTTCCATTTTTATGAAATGGAAATTTAAAGCCAGGGAAGTGTTATCTTGATATTAATTGTTATGCTAGTTTGCAATTATAATATACTCATCTGTGGCTGAAATTTGTCTTTTGTCATAGGGATTTCAGGCATGTCTTTGATCACAAATATCTACTTTGCCACAAAGATGTAGGTAACAGTCTCCTGTGCCTTAATATTAGGGGACACTTCTTTTTATTTGTCATACTGTATAAAAAAATAATTCACTATGGTTTTGGCTGATGTTCAATGTTTAACATCAGGTTTTTATTTGGATTTGGAGTTCTTGCTTCGTCAGCCTCTGCCACTGGTTTTAATTATTCAGGAACATCTCAAATAGCAAAGCTCCTCCACACTGCGTGTTTAGCTCTGGCTTCATGGGTTGTTACAGCTTACTATTACTTTCTAAGTGGCATTAATTAGAATTTAATATAAAATGCTATTAGAGAAATTATTTTAGAGACAATAATCTTCATCACATAGTTACTCTTTAAATCGTCTAATCACATAGCTAATTATCTTTCTAATGACTCCCCCCTTGGACAAACCACTCTTTGAACAGAGCTGTCAAGAGAAGAAGAAACATATGATAGCCTCAAGTACTGTTTGTAGAGCAGACCATGCCGCCAGTCATGGCAATTTGTTGTTACTGTTATACTTCAATTCTTTCTGGACCTCATCTTCTGTGATTAGTCTATCACAGCCAACTGCTATGACCTAATTCATGCCTGGTTAAATCAGTTAAGTAACTGTGCAACAAATTCTTGCTTGCACAAACCAGATTTTTTATTGAACAGGTTCTGGAAATGATGCTTGAAGGCATTCAACAAGTGTAGTCATCAATCTGAAAAATGTAATCATTAGGATCTTGCTGCAATTCATTCTTACATGAATTTTGTACCAGTAGTTAATGGTTTTATCAGATAGTCTATCTGTTTTAGTCAGTGATTGCTCGTCAAGTTCTCAAGTACTTTCCTAGATAGTTTAGAGAGATTGGCAAGGTCTGCTTTATCCTGGATTTCTTGGTATTGTGGATAGTTTTAAAGCACTCTCTAAAGAGGAACATGTATATTCATAAACATTGAAGGACAACTTTATGCAGATAAGTTTCCCAGGTGTTGTCAGCCACAACCTGAAAAACTTATCCTTTAGTGCTGTTTCCATTGCATCTTGGGCTAACATTTTTTTCTGAAGTGAAAAGATTATATTAATAGGTTTGCTGCAAGGAAAGTTGGTACACTTTGTTGTGCTAGACAATTTTTCTTGTTGGAATATATCTTGCACATTTATAGGTTTACCATTTGTCCATCCACTGAATATTGCTGCCACATCTGATTTAGTATTTCTGATATGTATTTATAGGTTTTTGATAAAATCAAAAGAATCTGAAATTTTATCCATCCTGACCTGGTATCTTAGCTTCAGTCTCTTTCCCATCACCGTAATGTAGTTTTCCTGTGCCTTTTCTATAAATATTTTCATAGTAATTGTTCTGATGAGTTTTCTTCTTTGATACCTTGACTTTACGAATTTAAGTGTAGTATTATCTTGGCAGTTAAATCTCATTTTAAAGTTCTATGCTGTTTCCTCTCTCACACTTCTCACTGGTGGAACTTTCTTCTAACCTCTTGCCTTCCAGGCAACTTTGATCTTCAAAAAATTTAAATGCAATGTCAATTGTCGTAATTCCTGTTCTTTTATTGTTCAGTAACCTCTTGTGTCTTAGTGGTTTTATTGCCTAGCTTGGAATGAAATGATTAAAACCAAACTTTTTTTTTTTTTTAATCATTTTATTGTCAATTAATTATTTTTCAATCGGAACATAGAATATAAATAAGCATTTAAAAAATTTACTTATAAACATTAATAAAAAATTCAGTGATGTAATATTGATTTCATGTTGCTTCTTTAATAGAATGTTGAAGGCGAGCAAGTCTGCTATGGAAACAACTGCCCTCTCTCGTGCAGGGCAACAGATGTTGGAAAAAGTGGAAAAAAGCAAAAAACCCGTTGTTGCAGCAATCATGGGCATGTGCTTAGGAGGTGGACTGGAGGTTATTATTATTTTATTTTTCATTTTCCTGAAAATGTCAGAAACTGCATTGCTATCCTTACATGTATTTCATTTTTACTATCTTCATGAAAAATAACTAGGGTGGATTGTTTATATTTTTTTTAAATTTATCATATCTATTTTCTTTCTTTACAATTTTAAAAACAAATGTTAAAGATATCCTTGATAATTTGTCTGTCATTTATTTTATATATTAAGCATGGGCGAAATTTCCTAACACTTATGCTTTTTATTAGAGACTGAATACACGGTTGAAAACTGTTTTTCTGTTTGGAGCTTTTTTCACAAAAATTATACAAATATCTTCCAATCAGAACTGAACAAAGGAATACTTTCTCTATACTGTGGTAAGACAACCCAATTACCTCTCCTGTCTAATGTTTTATATAAATTACTCACACCATTTTAGCCAAAACAGCAAAACTCTTCAGTTACATTCAATAAAGGCAACTACTAACCAATCCTTTGAAGAGGGTTTAGAACAGTATCTTCAGTGCTTAAAAAATCATAAGTCAAGATTACGACTTTCAAGCGATAACAGCAGATCAGGCAAAGGACAAATTTATCAGAGACGCCTTTTTAATGGATTAAAATCAAACTATATCTGTCAAAGATTGCTGGAAAATAAACAACTAGATTTAGCTACTGCTCACGAGCAGGCAGGAAAGCAATCTTGTTCATATCTGAAAACAAGTGTTGCAGAGGTTATACTAAATACTCACACTCCTACTAGTTCACCAATTCAAGTGACCCAAACAGGAAAAAAAAGACAGTCCTCTAAGACAGATTTTCTCATTTCTGCCACAACCTACACCTGTTCAAAATCTTCTTTTTCTGGAAGACACTGCATACATTGCTAGTGCGGCAACCAGATGAAAATGTTATTTTTGGGGTCTCAAACTACACACCAGGTTGTATTGCCTAGCCAGGGAAACCAAATGCCACAAGTACTGGAAGAAGGGACATTTCTCTAAGGTTGGTGATCAAGCTTCTTTTTTTTTTTTTTTTCACTTGGTTCAAATGCTCCTATTGCATCGACTGCAAATGCTAAATCTCTTTCAAAAGCTATATTAATGCTAAAAATAAATGCTCTAGTTGACACAGGAAGCTTGGAGGGTTTTATTAGCACTGATATTGCAAAAAGAAACAGGTTTAAAATCATACATTGTAATAGTCAGGTGGCTATGGTGATTGCTTCACTATCTTTGCAGGTTAGAGGATGTATTTTGGCCGGCTTAGAGTCTAATCAAACTAACTACACTAACACTCAATTTTTCATGATGCCAAATCTGTGCTGCAATGTCATGCTGGTCCATGATTTCCTCTACCAGAATTCTAGTATTAATCTCCCTTTTGGGGGCCCTAAATTGACATTGAACAGCTGTGGCTTGCCTGCTGTAAGTGTATGATAACCCTTGAAGACAAAACATTTATCCAAGCAGAAATAACAAGAATGTTAAGAGAAGGAATATTCGAAGAAAGCAGATCACCATGGAGGGCACAAGTATTATGTAGCAAAGGAGTCAAATTCAATATGGAGTGTAAGGGAGGCAACTCTTTCCGTAGGAAAATGTCTGACACGACGCAACGCAAAGCAATGTATACCGAACACGGGTGTAATGGCTTCTGCCAATTTCTCCAAGCGACCTGCTTTTATGGAGCCCAGACACACCTCATTAGCATGCGTGTAACGTGACCTTGCGAGACTGCACGAGACCGTGAATATTAAAAAGTCACGGACGCCATCTTGGACCCTTTCTTTCTTTTCTCAACCCACAGGCCAGACAGACGCGAGGGCGTTTGGGAGGTAAGCCATTTCTATTTTCCCCCACATATTAATAACGTCTTCTGATACTAATAAAAGAAGGATGGTCATAGACTATTCCAAAATTATAAATAGGTACACCCTCCTGGATGCATACCCTATATCTCGTTTAACAAGATGATAAATGAGATCACCAAATGCAGAATATTTAACACGTTAAACCTAAGGGGGGATTACCACCAAGAAGCTATAGGCCCTAAAGATAAGCTCTATATGGCTTTTGAAGCCTGCAGATGACTTTATCAGTTACGACAGATTCTGTTTGGGGGTTACTAACAGGGTTTCCAGTTTTTGGAGAGTCCTCAATAAAATAATTCTTAAAGAAAAACTACAAGGCAGTAGATAGATTATTTGGTAGTGTGCAGTCATGACTGGGCTGATAATTGCAACCAAAAATGTCATCCAGGCATTATGAGGATGATGCATGTGGTTCAATGCCGGAATTTGCCTTTTTCAATTGAGGATGTGTGATCCTCCTGTGTGTAAGGTGGAACTGATCAAGGTGAATCCACTCTATGCGTGCATCCAGCACCCCGACAGGAGACAATTAGATATTTTCCTCAGATTTGGCTCCTGCTGGTGAGTAGCTCTCTCCTGAAGCAATATCTCTCCCTCTTGATAGTAAAGGCATAACAATGCCATTGGATTCTCCTGAAGAACAAGGCCCTGATAGTGACAATTCAGAGATTAACACCAGAATAGCTCCCTTAAAACTAGAGCATACTACCATAGACTTTGATAATCAGCTTTCAGAATCGAAGTGTCCCACTCCAAGAAAGAGACTAAAACAATATGAGACAAAATACTTCTGGCTGACTTTTCCTGTAACACATGAAAGCCCAAATCAGCTGCCACCAAGACAATCCCAGAGAATTGTCATGAGACCCAGTCAACTGGATAATTTTGTGTTGGACTAGGAGAAAACAAAGCCAGGGAGAATGTGGTAAGACAACCCGATTACCTCCTTTGTCTAATGATTTATATAAATAAGTCCCACTGTTTTAGCCAAAACGGTAAGACTCTTCAGTTATGTTCAATAAAGGCACATTAAGCCAAATTAGACTCTGTTTTCATTACAATTACCTTATTCACAAAAATAAATCTTTTTTTATTAATCTAAAAATGATCTATCAAGCTTTATATGGTATTGAAATAAGCAATAAGTTAGGTGTAAGTAAACAAAAAAAACTTCTATATTATTCTATAGTAATTCATATGTGTGTTAAAAAAATTTACTTTATTTTTTCTTTACTTTTTTGCAGGTAGCCCTTGCTTGTCATTATAGAATAGCTGTGAAAAATAAGAAGACAAGCTTGGGTGTTCCTGAAGTGATGCTTGGACTTCTTCCTGGAGCAGGTGGCACACAGAGGCTGCCAAAATTGGTAAGTTTTGGCTTGACTTTTGTGACTTTTAGCAAGTACACATACAAATATACTGTCGGAAAATAAAAATTCCAATGCCTTGAATACAAGTTTTTAATTACTTCAATATTGACAGGTAATACAGAGAGGCAAGAATAAATGATCACATATTCAAATCAATATGTGCCCAAGTTTCAAAATAAGAGATATACCAACAGTACTCAGATCTCTATATTGACACATTGTATATTCACTTAAGGTGTACTTTCCTATGCACATAATACAGATGGTTGATACCATCCTCTGATACATTATTCTATGTCTTTTACATGTGTTGATGCAATATAGCAAGAGTTGTATGTGAATGAATTATCATCCCATCATATCCTATACATGTTAAATGGGAGACCAGTCAATTAATCATGCAATCCAGACAAGTTGAATATCTTGCAGAGAGTGTTGAGTAGCATGGTCATCTTGTGGGAGAGCATTCTCTTACTAGAATGGTACCAGAACAGTTTGAACAATGTTTTGCATGTACTTGGTACTGTTCAATATTACCATCACAAACACCAAAAGACATGTGAAGAATTGTAACTTATGCATTCAACACTATTGCCAGTGGTTGGGCTTTGTGTTGTAGGTGAATGTGCTTTGGAGGACTTTGACTCCTCAGGTCTACATGAAAACAACCCTCTTGTAACACAATGGGAGATATGCATGATTGTTCTGTTATATGTGAGCATATGGCTAGAGGCATTGTCTTTATGTCCCATACATATTATCTGAGACAGTTCTGCTGGAACATCACATTGCCTTCCTGTTTCAAGAATGAAAACAGAATGGGTTGAACAATGTTATGCATGTACAGGGTGTCCTTTTTTTGTAGCGAAATTGTGACGAGTTTTGTAACAACATTCTCTGATCGTTTGTTGCTCACTGCACCTGTGATGACATCCAAGGTTGAGTGTATTTGCATATACACCCAACTCACATTGTGCACAGGTTTGTCTTGGCCGTGATCACTTTCAACAAAAAAAAATATGAAGACAATTGTTTTTCAAGACTCTCTGGTTGGGAAGTAGCAACAATACAATTTCTTACTTGAATGTGAGATCTTTCCTTCAGCTTTGAGAGGTGGGCTGCTATCTTCTTAACTTCACTGGTTTCTGTGACTCTTGATTCCTCATTACTGGTCCTTCTGTCACTGGACACTGGGCCGCTCCAACTCCTTTGGTCACCTACCTACTTCTCTCACGGCTGGACCCACTTACCTCCTAACTTCCTGCATCTCTCTGATTATATGGATAATCCTGGGGTCCTATCCCCCTCCATCCACTTGTCTTTCTGGAAGATTTGGGACCACCCCAAAGCCACATGGGTCGTCAAATCTTCAAAGGACTACTTTTATGACTATCTAAAATCATTTATAATAATTTTGTTTCCCAATTTAAAAGCGAACTGGAGACATGAATCCTGAAACACTAATCTCTAAGTTCACTCAAGATGGACTGGAGACAAAATTCCTATGAAATTCCAATAGTTGAGTGGGCTTAAAAGGAAGGAATTTATCTTCTGAAGATGTGTGAGAAATCTTAATTTTACACTTTCAACAAACATCAAGTGTGGGTGAGATTTGTAACTTATAGCAGGAGGAGGAGTTAGGCCTGTGTATCACAAGTGAAAATGTTTTAGAAGGTGTTACTTCATAGGTCTATGTTGCATATGCAAATGACATCACTTGTATAAAGGTAGAACCTACTCTCATCACTAAATGCCATTTGATTCTTCAGGTGACCCCCTTGTGGAGACTTGAAAGATGGTGTTGCATAATCTGAAGTCTGGTTACAGGTACATATGCCCAGGGCCAGTACAAGGGTCTCGTATTCTTCACAGTCTATGATACAGGGCCCCCAATCTATTACATCTCAATTTTCATGAAGTAGCATTCATGTAATATACAAATGCTATTGTAACATAATTATGTACAATAATAGATCATATGCAATTCAACTAAAAATGTTGAAAAATCCAGTGTATCTAAATACAAATTATCGACATGTCATAATAGATCTTTGCATCTAAAATAGATTAACAATGTTTTGTGGCAGTTTTTAACATCAACTTATTAAAAAGCTAAATAATTTTAACACTTTCAACATTTATGGATAAAACAGTGAATTTCATATAGTGTTTTTTCAAGATTTAGCATGAACAAATGTATTCATGATTTCATCACAGTCAAGGGATTGAGCACATTCATTTTCAATGGAAATTATTGCTAACCTGGATAACGTTTTATCTCATTGTGGATTGCAGATAAGTTTTTATAAGTTTTAGTTTGATGAAACATCTTTTGACACTAATGTCATGATTAACCCATTGTAAAAAAAAAAAAAAATTCACTGATTTGGATAAAAAAAAAAATATCCCAGAATGATGTCAAAATCTGAAAATTTTGAATTCTTTTAATAGTCATTTGTACTTAATTTAATTGGAAACATATGTAAATGTAGGTAGGAAAAAAAGCAAATGTTGATAAGCTAGTGAAAGTCATTAAGTACTTTCTGGGGCCCCCAGTCAGATTTGTCCTGCCAGCCCCCATAGGAGTGTTTGAGGTAGTATGTTGGCCCTGCATGCCTTATTGTAAGTAAATGATTCCTAATGGTCCATGCTAACTCTTCTGGAGCCACATTTTCTCTGATCTGTGCTGCCATGGAATGCAGTCTTTTACTGTTGCACATATAATGCATTGGTCTTCGTATGTTCATAACCTGGTTTGCAGTTGTAGGAATATTTGACCACTGCTGCCAACATTGAAGCATCACCATTCAACACATGCAGCCTTTCTTTGAAGTGATCATCCAGCTTCTCTAAGGACCATAATCTGACTTCTGACAAATATCTCTAATTGAACAAAAAAGGCAAATAATGCAGCTCTGTGACATAACACTTGCTTGCACTGGAGAAGTATGTGTGTCAGAGAGAGAGAAAGTGTGTAATGTACTTAAAGACACATTGAAGACTAAGAAATACACCCACATCTTACAAACAATTAAATTTATTGATACAAAACTTGGTACACAGATGCAGTAATGGTTGCACTAGATGTTTATTGGCTGTAACTGCCTTCAGCCACAGTGATGGCTTCAATGCAGGGCTGGGATTGTTGACATCACATGGTCTATATTGAAAAAAATGAAAAAATAATGTATAAGCAGAAAATGTATTAAATATTTGTTGGATTTAAACCATTTCCTCTGATATGTTGTCATTGTTTACGTTAGGATATAAAATCAGAGCAGACATGATAGATCAAAGAATGATCTTGATGAAAAAAGCATTGATTTGAGCTTTGCTTAACTGGAAGTCTCTAGCTGAATGGTTATAGCATGCCAGGATTAATGGTGGTTCCTCATAGGATGCAGGTTTGATTCCTGTTTGAGAATGCATATTTTCTACAAAATTTCTTGAACATTCAGGCTGGTAAATGTAATTTATACTGTTTAATTAAAGAACAGAGCATTTACTTAAATAAGTGTATCCATGAAAAATAATGTATAAACAAAATATATTAAATTATTTGTCAGATGTAATAATTATGGATAGCAGCTCAGGATAGTTTAAATTCTAGTCAAATTCAGTACCTTCACTTATGCACAAAATATCCTTTGGAAAGGTATGAATCCATCTTTTCCCACCTGCTATGGGTTAAATAGCAGCACAGATTGGGCTTACTGGCAGTGATTGGCAACCATTCTTGGAGAAGGACAACTCTGAATTCAAAACTGAGGAGACCTGTTTGAGAAGCTTGTGATACACTATGTGCACCAGTTCTTTGCACAAGCCTTCACCACTATAATCAAATCATATGTGCAGGTAATCTGACTGTTTGATTCTAGCAACTGGATTGTTGGACTGGAAAGTCCAACATATAAAAACTGATTTCTTTATTATTATTTTTTATATTTTATTTGTTTTTTTATTTATTTATATTTTTTCTTCAGCAAATGATATTAAATGGTCTTAGTTAGCTTTTAGCTTTTATTAACTTTGGATGATTTATTAGAAATAATATTAACATCACATTGTAATTGTCTTTGTTTGCAAGTTTTACATATAATGTAGACTCATTATTTTTTATTCCTTAAGGTTAAATTAATATTGTTGTGTGTGACATCTTTAATTTATAACATAAATTTGCAAAAGGATTGTATAATTGCTTCTGAAGTTTAAATAATTCAGGTGCTTTTTTTTTTTTTTTTTTTTATTTTGTGTGTATGATCTTGAAAACATTTTGATCTAGTAGCCTTGTATTTATTTTATAAGTCTAATGTTGGATTATATTATAATATTAATCAACTTTTTGTTCAGGTATCTATTCCCAATGCTCTTGACATGATGTTAACAGGTAAAAATATCCGTCCGGATAAAGCAAAAAAGATGGGGCTTGTTGATCAAATTATTGAACCTCTTGGTAAGTAACAAAAACAAAAAAACTAAACAAACAAAAATCTTACTGCTAATAGGTTTTACTGTAACTGTGAATTGCATTATAAAATAGGGTGCTGAAAGGTTCTCACCCTGAGTCAGTCTTCTCTCCAAAATCCAATATTTGTTTCTTTCATCAGATTTTTGGAAAATGCGTGCAGCCAAGAATAGCATACCCCTTTTTGTTAAATAAGCTTAGGTGATATTAAGTAAATGTTTATTCACTACTTTATAGATACCATAAAAAATGACAGCATATTTTAAGCCTATTATTAAAAGATATTCATTCACCTGTAAATACATAAATATATTGCCAGAACAATAAAAGAATACATTACAAAAAAGAATTTGACATATTATATAGTAAGTTTTTTTTATTTATTTGTTTATTGTAAGTATCATGATGGTAGAAAATAGGATTTGGAATTGCAAAAATCATGTATATTTAAGTCTGGTTGTAGGTTTTGAGGGTTTGAACATTTGTTTCATTGCAACAATTATATCTTGCAAAGTAATATTGTATCTTTCATCTGTGTTTAATTTTAAAAATATACTTTTGTTTCTGAATTTTTATTTCAGGCCCAGGCATAATGGAACCTGAAAACAGAACACTTGCTTATTTGGAAGAGATTGCTGTAATAACAGCCAGGTAAACATATTTTTAAATCTTGAAATTTACTTAAAAAGCACTACTTAGAAAACTAATTGTTAAATTTAGAATTTAAAAAAAAAAAATGAGTTTCTATGCTGTAAAATTATGTGTGAATATTTTAATTTTGTATCTTTTTCAGAAATTTAACAAAAGGTGTTATAAAGAGAGTGCCACGAAAGAGAAACATAATTGACAGTAAGTTCTAATATATTTTGCATGATATCCTACAAAAAATATCAGAAAATCTTAACAGCTTAAATATTGGATGTATTTTATGTTTTCCATTTGTAATTTTTAACATGCTTATTATACACATTTAACATCTTTGTAATACACTTTTCCATTTGGACTAGTATACTACTAATCTTGATTGTTATACAGTATTTTTTGTACTCTCTGTTGTAAGTATAGTAATAAAGATGAGTCCAAATGAAAATGCATATAATAATTCCTCATCTCAAAAAGTCCAACATAAATAAAGAGATAAGGCTGAAGTGTTAAATTTAAAACACTGAATATAACAACCAAGATGTGTATACTTGTTCAAATATTGTTATTAGCAAGACAATCATCCTATTGTATTCACTTTTGAAAGCCAAATTTTGTCATTTTATTATCTCTTGCATATTGGCAAGTTTTTAAGGTTTTACTAGTGATTGGTTTATTTAATTAATCTTTTGCATCAGATTTAATTGGCCTTCATTCCTCCCAACCTCATTTTGCATAAAATCTATTTACACCATTTGGTACAATCTTCAAATTCACTAAATGTTGGAGCAACTTAACTCTGCTCTTGAGGTTCTGATGATAGCTATTGGAAATGGGGTGCAATAAAGTCTATAGTTGATATTCTTATTTTCAGCTGCAACTTTTTCTTTAATCCACCATTTTAAACATTTTCATTATTTTAAGTATCAAGACCATACATTTTACTATTTAAATTACTTAGGAAATTTTGATTTGCACATACATTTTTTGTGTGGAAGTGGTGGGTTAATTATGAACAATGATTTCTTCAGGAACTAATAAAATTGAACAAAATAATTTCTTCCATTTTTAATACTGATAATATTTTATAATAGGAGTACATAGTGTTTAAACTCTCAAAACAAAATATTTGGAAAATGTAATTAAATTTTAATAAATGTCTTTCCTCTCTTTACAAGAAATTACTGACCTTGTATTGAAGTATGACAGTGGCAGAGATCTTATATTCAAGCAAGCAATGACCAAAGTGATTAAACTGAGTGGTGGCCTTTATCCTGCTCCTTTGAAAATTTTAGATGTAAGTCTTTGCTTCATTCATTTAAATTTATTGTATTACAAGTGGCGTTTATAAAAATATTCAGTGTTGTTTCTAGTTTACATTTGAAGAATCAACAAGTTTTCAAAAAACAAAAATTAAATATAAAAAAAAATAAAAATTTAAAAAAATAGAAAATAAGTAATTTGTAAAACAATTGGTTAGTTCTTTGTCCTTATATTTGTGTATATATGCTAATATTTAATTTATAAAATGAGCTAGTGACAAATCCAATGTTAAGACTTTTGTTGATCTCTTCAAAAAGCATGCATTTATCTGACCAATTCCATTTCACATCTTTCTTTAGCAGGTTATTCAAGAGTGCTTTTAATTCGATAATTTGTCCCCTAAAAATATTTGTTAAGTTGTTGGACAGGCAAATCAATTGTGTTTGCCCTTGGAAGGATTTTCCTTCACTGATCTTTAAGACCATATTCTTTAATTTTTCTTTTAAATTCTTTTTTTTTTTTACATCTTCTGTATGTTGCTTTCAGGTCTCACTTTTAATAAGTACATCATCTAAATATATTTGTGCAGAATCCAAACTGGCTAGCATCGTATCCATAATCTGTTGGAATATGCTTGGTGCTACCTTTATACTAAAAAGAAGTTGATTAAATTTGTATAATCTTCTATGAGTGTTAACTATTAATAGTTTTGAGCACACTTCATCTACTAGTACTTGTAGGTAAGTGTCTGACGGGTCCAATTTAGAAAAAAATTTATCACCATTTAATTTGGCAAAAATTTCCTCTGGACTTAGTAATGGGTAGTTATATTGTTTTAAATTTTCATTTAACTCCATTGAAAAATCAACACATACATGGATTTTATTATTTCTTTTAACATAAACTGTTGGTGATGCCCATTCAGGATAGTCTGTTTTTGAGATCAGACCTAATTTTTCTAGTCTGTCTAATTCTTTATTAATTGGTTCTAAAGCTGCAAAAGGTACACTCCCTTTTGGCTTAAATGTTGGTGTTAGATTCTCTTTTAATTTAAATTTAGCTTTAGTTTTTGTGTATGTCCCTAGACCTTCTGGAAAACTTTTTTAATTCATTCTTTAATTTTTCAGTTTCCGTATTAGCACTGGAGGTAACAATATTTATTTTATTGCAAAAAGAGTTAATTGGAGAGTCCCAAAGATCAAGTAATGCAATCCAGTCTTTTCCAAATAAATCAGCAGTATTCTTTAAAACAAACACCACTGCTTTCTTAGTTTTTCCAACAAAAGAAATGTTACAAGTGAATTCACCCAAAAGTTCAATCTCTTTCCTGAAACTCCATGCACAACTTTATTAGAAGTCAAACTGGGTTTACCCATTTTTCTCCATGTCTGTTCATTTATGAGTGATATCAGATCCAGTATCCAGTTGTAATTTTATTTTTACATTATTAATTTCCACAAAAACAAATTTCCTCTTTTGAGATGTTTCTAACTCAGTTAAAGACATGTTCAAAATCTTGTTGATTTTCCTTTTATGCTTCTTATTTTTACTCCATGTATTTATTGTGTTCACAAGCATTTTATTTTTCCTCCATTTTTTTTTTGTATCTACAAGTCTTTTTGTGTCCCACCCTCGCACATTCATAGCATTTTTTGTTCTTGAAAAAGCAATTACTTTTGAAATGCTTACCTCCACAACCGTTAGGTATTGAGGTTGAGAGGGTTTATTATCTGTTTTTATTGTTATATTAGGAGTTGAAAAACGTCTACAGTTTTTTTCTCTTAGATGGTTGGATGCTATGTACTTGTAAAATGTCTCTTTCTTCAGTCCTTGAGGTATCGAGTTTTAGATTTACAATACATTGACATTCTTCTGCTATTTTCTGGAGAATTAATTTGGGATCCATTTCTAATTTAGCAATTATCCTGGATCTTATTTCCATGCCCTTATTACAAGTTAAACCCTGTGTATGAATATTAGGCATTTGAATAAATCGTAGATTAATTCATTCAACTTGAATTTTTCATATTCTTGATTCACGACTCCTGCATAAGTGGCAAAATCTTTATTGTTGCGCTTTACTAAGTTAAGACATTGCCATCTTGTATTAAATTGTAAAAAAAAATTTTTTGATAGTATTACAACAGTTTCATCAAAATTTATCTTTTTTTTTTTGGCAAAATATAATTCACATATTTTTCATGTTCAGCAAATTTTGATAAAATAATGAACAAACTTTCTTATCATCATTCCAATGCAAACAATCCCTTTTGAAGATCTCTTCATATCTTCTATAATAAGCTGAAAAAGTTATCCCTTCATTTGGATTGTATACAAATTCACTGATTGAATTAGCAACAGCATCTGGACTGAATAAATCTAAATTCTTTTCTTTCATAGTTTTAGTAAATAATTAAAAAAACTTCTGTTATTGTAAATGTAATTGCTGTTCATGTTGTTTTTTGTTGCTGCAATTGTTTTTGTTGCTGCAACTGTTGTACTTGTTGCTTTGTAGCGCCAAGATTTGAATCATGATAGCTTTTAGTTCTTCCATTTTGCTGTACTCTGCTGAATATTTTGTAGATTAATTTTTGAATAACTTTGCCTGGTTATTTCTCTGTAGTCCTCCAAATATGACCTCTCTTTGGTGAAGTGGTAAATATTACTGAATATCCTATTATGATGTGTAGGATATGTATATTTTGTTTTTTTTTGTGTAAGTTCAACAAATACTCGTCATCACTTTTGTAATGCCCATTTGTAGGAGAGACTTTGAAATCTTTGATAAAACACTAGATGCAAACAATACTTGGTCAGATGCCGCTAATTCCTATATATACATTTTTCCTTTACCTCTCAATGATCTAATTATTTCAAGATGAGGTTGACTGTGCTTGCTCTCTGGCAATCCATGTTCTTCAGCAGTACACTTTATTCCTATATATATATATCAAATGTTATTCAAAAATGCAATTATTTATTTGTACATTATTTGTTTTGTTTGAATTTTTGTTTCAAGATGAGGTAACATTGTTTTAAATTCTCATCTTTTTCTACTCTTTTCTTGTAAAAACAAATATCCCAGAATTTGATCAGTAAAAAGGATCCAATCAAACAAATAAGTTGAAAATAGAGGGAGAAAAGAATTTGTTTATTTCACAGTATGTCTGCTTCTCTGTTTCCTTGTCAGTTGTGGACACTAAGTTAGAAGAAAAAGTGCTGATATGAAATATAAACAAATTTCCATTTTACTGTGCCTCTTTTTACATATAAATTTTATTTCTTTAATTGAATTTCTATTGGAGCATATTATATGTTTAAAGAAACACTTAAAACATCTGAACAAACTATGATACAGATATTGAATAAGAGACGAGTGAAAACCTCACTCAGACTTTTATTCTTCAGATATGTTCCTGGTAATTAAATTTTGTTTTCTTGCCACTTTGGTTTTAGAATGTAAATTACTAAACAAATTTGGTTACTTCTTGTCTTATCAAAATTGTTCATTTCTTTTTCAAATAATACAGACTAGAACAGAAGTGCAAGATGGATAAATTTAAAAAATCAGTTTGGGCTGAAAAGTGCATCCATTATAACTAATTTCTTCAATGTGCTTGAGTAAATAAGAGTTAAATGTCCTTGGAGTGTAAATACAATTCTCACACTTTGAATTTATTATTTTGTTTCTATTATTGATTTGAAGCTTGGCACAGGACTAGATTGACAGCTATGTTTCATAAGTTTATTGTTGAAATTAAAAGTTATAATTGTAAGCTCTAATGGTTCCTTTTCACTTGCAGAAATAACTTCTGGCTTCCTGCTTTCATGTCAACTACAGTCTTCAAAATTTTAAATGGAATGTCAGTAGTCATCTTCTGTCTCTTTCATTCCTGTTCTTTCACTCTCAGTTACCACTTGCATCTTAGTGGCTTTTATCTCATTGTTTGGGGTGAAATGATTTTTTTAAAAAAGGCTGGAAAGTCTAGGGAGGGAGCAAGAGTAGATTTTTATATGGCATCTAGGTTACCTTTATTCAACTTTTATAGCAACTATATAGCAGTGTAATTGCTATATATTTTAATAATCTTAGATTGCCAAAAGAAATCCTGCAAAATTTACAAGCCATTGTTAATTCCTCAAAATTTGTCCATTCTGTACAATACGTTTTATTATTAAAAATGGATTTTGATGAATTTAATGGCCACTATTATAATTACAGAATTAATTTAAACTGCATTAAATCTTGGGAAATTATTTGTGAACTACCTTTGTCATTGCTACTACTATTATTCTTTTGGGAAAAGAAATTTAGTAATATTTAGTTTTATTTAATAAATTATTATAACAATATTTTTAAAAAATAAATTTTTCAAACTTGTATAAATTGGCAAAGTGAAGCATTAAAAGCTTTTCCTTGTATTCACTTTTAATTTTGCCTCTCCTTCAACACACACTCACGCACACACATTAATTGTAGCCCTCCATCAATTTCTGTTTGCTAGAAATGCTTCGATTTAAGGCAAATTTTTTAAAAACAAAGATAGTCTCAATTCAAAATAAAACTCATAGATCAGTAAAAATGAAAAGATTAAAGGAATTTTGAATCTGTTTTGGTACATTTTATCTTGATCATAAATTTCAGTGTTGCACTAGAGAGCTAGAATGTATAAGTTTGTTGATTGAACATTCAGGAACAGTTGAATCAGAAAATTTGTAGCAATGTTTAATGGACAAAAAATCCTTGCAAATGTTTATTGCATCAGAGAACATTCGTATCTTCCATTAACTTAAAGGACATTTTCATTTACTCAACTGCAGTAGATGTTAGTAAAATGACTTGCATTTCTAAAAAGTGATATAGTACACTTAATATTAATCAACTAATAGTGGTAAAATTTTCAAGATATACTTACATCTACTTAAGAAATATATTGTATGAGTTTATGCCTATAATATATATCTTTATTAAAATTAAATGTAGAAGCAGGCATGATGAAAATTGCTACAAAGAATATAAATCTAGTGTATGAAGATTTTAAACAGCCTGCTTTTGATCAACCATTACAAAGACGGTCAATGATAAGT